TTCCCTGTGCCTGCTCCGCCAGTGACAAATACATGAAGCGGTTCAGGATTTTTACCATTCACCTTGTTCAAACACCATTGTCTGACTTTGTAAAACACCTGTTTTTGTTTAGCATTGAGACACCTCAACAAATTCATTGCTTCTTGTTTCGATACATTTAATCTGTGTGGTTCAATAGTATATTTCATATCATCATCTTTCTTGGATATCAAATCAGGGATATCTGACTCATTGTCACTCTCTTCCACTTGTGCTTGTTGCTGCCCTTCACATTCAAGTCTGTCCTTTTAAGTTTCTGGAGCTATTAATGCCCAAGCATCTTCTTGTGGACCAAACTTCTCCAGCATTTCCTCAGCTTCATCTACTGCCGTAGCATTAGCTTCATACAATGACTGGTTACTTTCAACAATAATTCTCACAGGTTTCAACATTCCACCGAACTTAATAATGCCATTTCTATAAAATTCCTCGTATGATTCAAACTGTTGCGGTTTCAGCTGGGCATCAACACGATATGGAAGGTACAACTGCAGTATGCTCTGGTAGTAGTACTTTTCAGGACATTTTGCTGATGAAAATCTAGGAAATCGTATAACAGCTGGATCAGTTCGACTTCGTTTCTGTATGTGGCCTAAACCATTCTTCAATTCATATACTGGTGAACGAGTTGTTTTAGCCATGTTTGTATATATAACTCTATAATCTGAGCAAAATGTTGCCAAGCACATTGTTTCAAATTTGTCAGTATTTGGTCTTGCTAGGTACCTATCAATTCTACTAGTCATCCAAATATTATCATCTTCATCACATGTACTTTGAATAACACTCAGAGGCTTACTCATTCTAATTGGATTTTCACCGACAGGTATGAATTCCACTTTCCTTGATCCTTCTTTCAATCTTAGATTACAGACACGATAAAGTACTTCTTGTGCTGATACTTCACGGTTATGCAAATACACACAGCCAATTTTCCGCATGCTCTGTCTTATATCCAAATTTCCTTTCTGAGCCTCTGCCTGAGCATGTGACAACAACATACCCATTTCACGTTCAGCTTTGGACATATACGATACCACATAAGCAACACAAGCATAAGCATCACAAATATACTGAATATCCATGTTTGCATTCCAACATCTTATCAAATCTGGATTGTACAAATTAACCCATACATCTTGTGGCTGTCTCTTATGAACTTAACTTGTTTTGTGACTTAATATATCATTAGCTTTTTCAAAATCACTTTGTGTCACATTTATACTTGCAAATAATTCATTGGTTGTCATATATTCATTCTCGGTTTTTTGTATTGCGGTCCATATCGATTGCAGCAATTCCTTAGCCTTATTTTTTTCACTGCTTTCACCATTGGCTTCATCCTCATCATCTGTTGGCATGGGCTCAGTTATGAATGTTCGTTCAGATGGAGGTCTTGGGAAATTGAACCTACACTCAGTACCCTTCTTTTTACATGACTTGGAATGCTTTCTGCTGTGCAACTGTACATGACTAATAATTTCATGTAATGCTTCATCCTTGTCCTTTGATGGTAATTTACAACTTACATATTTGTCAACAAACTGTACAACCTCTCTTTCACTGTCATCTCCCAACTTGGGTGCATTTTCAATCCAGAAAAGACAATGTGTATGTGGCGACCCTCTTTGTTGAAATTCTACTCTGTAAAAATAGTCTATGACTTTTCCTATCGGTTCAGCTCTGGACAGTATAACATCTCTCAGAAACGTATGGAATCGCTGATCAAACATTCTCGCAGCAGTTACAGGATTACTTCGCAATATGATACATTTCTCATTCCAGTCCAAACCTTCTACATCTCTAGAATCACCTTGCTGTCTTAAAATTGTATTGATTACCTCAGGCCACCGCATATCTGCTGCAGAAAACGAAGAAAACCATGTTGGTATTCCTAACTGTCTGATCATAGCCAAAACATCCTTCTGTGCTGCTTGCCAGTAAGGAGGTGTACCACGAATGGGCTTGAGAAATTTGTATCCACTATCTGACTTCAACATATCTTGCAATTGGTCCCTGTCATTGATCATGGAGGCATTCACACTGTCACCATTATACTTTTTATCAGATCCTTTTCGCAATGCAATAGAAACACTTGACATAACTCTCTGAATCTCTGACAAATACTGAGCATAAAAGATATATTGAGTACACATTGCAAATGTATTATCAACATTCATCAGTCGGTTATGCAAATATCGGCAAAGTGTCAATTTCACTTCACGATCATCATCAAAAATAGGTTGACCTGATGGAAATAATGCTGGAAAGCATTTGGCTTCATTACCCTTTTCCATTAACACTCTAATTGGACTATTGCCTTCACAAGGAGCCACACACAGCACTTCGTCAAAATACTGATCAAGTATTTCCTGTCCTACGTTAGTTGGCTGAAGACAAGTGTCTAATGCAATGCCTCGTAAACGATCGTCATCAGTTTCCTCATCACTGTTATCACTTTCATCGTTGGCTTCTTCTTTCACATCAGGTACAGACTGATCCATTTCATTATCATCTTCACAAAATGGATTGTTCCAATCAGCATTTATTTCAATGTCACTGAACCATTTATTATTATGTTGAAGATATCGTAATGAATTCTCCACATTTTCTTTACTCACAAACTGATATTGATAATATCCTTTATAAGTCAATTTCCTCTTCAACTTGACTCGGATCATCTGATCATCATTTTGGGACCTTGGCAATGCTTTCACTGTATCCGTAATATTTGATGGTACACATACAACTGGACCTCGTACACCATGTTGTCCTCCTTTAGGCAATGCAATCATTTTCATGAATGGTACATTTATTGCAATGAGATGCTCTTCTAATGTATTCAAACAAGCTAATTCCTCAGGGATGTCCATCAGGTTTAAATTATTCACATTAGCTTCAGCAGGGACTTTATTAACAAGTAAGTTTCTGTGACAGGTATAACATATCCATAAACATGATCTGCTTGATTCTGCAATCATACACTTGGATTCACAATAATCACTACAAGTATGACGATATTTGTCACTAATTGACGTCTGATCTTTGTATTTGTACAGGTTACACTGTATAACTTGCTTTTGAAACAGCAGTTTATGACAACAAGCACAGACATGCTCAGGTCCTTTAGCTATGCTTTCTTTGAATTTCTTTGTAACAAAACAAATTTTACGTCTTTTCTCTTTGTTAATCAAAGCACGTCTGGAATTCATCTTTGCCATACTTTTACGATATTCACTATTTATTTCATACTTCCTTTTTCCATACTTTATTAACTTTGCCCTGTAAGATGTCACACATCGGTATTTCTTTTTGATACCTGCAATGAGCTTTCTTCTATATGAATCATTGCCATGGTATTTACATTTAGCTCTATTTATTTTCTTCTGTCTATAAGCAAAATCTTTATGGTACTTTGCTTTACACTTGCTTTTTTCATAATTTATTAGCTTATCTCTATATCCTGCATCATCACGGTACTTTCTTTTCCCCTTATTGATTTTATTTTCTCTGTATTCAGGATTATTGTAATATTTTGTTTTTCTCTCATTGATTACCTTGATTCTGTATTCAGCATCATCACAATATTTGCTTTTCAACATGGCGATCAACTTCTCTCTGTACTCAGAATTCTGGCAATACTTTGTGTTCCCCTTAGTGATCAACTTCTCTCTGTACTCAGGATTCTGGCAATACTTGGTTTTCCCCTTTGTGATCAACTTCTCTCTGTACTCAGGATTCTGGCTATACTTGGTTTTCCCCTTTGTGATCAACTTCCTTCTGTACTCAGGATTCTGGCAATACTTGGTTTTCCCCTTTGTGATCAACTTCTCTCTGTACTCAGGATTCTGGCAATACTTGGTTTTCCCCTTAGTGATTAGCTTCTCTCTGTACTCAGGATTCTGGCAATACTTGGCTTTCCCTTTGTTGATTTTCTTCTCTCTATATTCAGGATTATCATGGTAATTTCTTTTCCCACTGTTTTTTTTCTTTTCTTTGCATTCTTGATTGTTACAATATTTCTTTTTTTTATGCTTTAAAATACTTTTTTATGCGTTTCATCGTTATAATTTCTTTTTTTTCAGCCTTTAATCGCTCTGTTTTAAAATCCATGTCACTACTGTGCTTTATTTTAAGCAATTCCTTTTTCTTGTCTGCATTCTTTTGATAGTTCTTCTGGTTATACATCTTTTTACTTTGCTTTTGCTCATCACTCCTATTCTTTTCACTGTTCACCTTGTCTGCATACCTTCCCTTAGCTTTCTCTCTTTTCCTTTTTTGTTGTAATTTTCTATTTCCTCGCTTACGCCTTTTACACTTCAAATTCTTTTCTGATTTACTGGAGGTACGGTCTTTTCCACACTCTGCTTTTTTATTAGTTGTTGCTTTTTGTTGTCTATTATCAGATTGCCTTCTTGATTGAGTTGATTCATGAACTGACAACACAACATCATAATGAATTCTACGCCTATGGTACAAATAAATTGCCTCATCTATGGTTACAGCCTCTCTCTCAAAGGTGCTTGCAGAGAAAACATTCCACTTATTTCCATCTTCAAATGTATATATATCTGTATGCAGCATGTGTGCCATGGCCATGATTTCAACCTCTGTAGCCCACACTCCAGAGTCAAACATTCTTTGCCTTATGACATATTCTTCCACATTAACAAATCCTTGTCGCAGAAAACCATTGAATTTATCTCCATTTATTAACAAGTGATTGACAGTAGCCATTCTTAACTGCACATGATTTTCTTCAGTTCCTGACACAGCAAATGATATCGCCCGGAAAAAGCAGTTTCCATCACCTTTAATTTTCTTCACTGAATCAGGTTTTCCCATCTCTTCACATTTATCTGACACCTCATTACAATCCAGAGATATTTGGCCTATTCCATGCTTTCTGCACAGTCCATTCTTGCTAGCATATGACCGAGGAACAAACTAAAAACCTTGTATTTGTCTTACTTCCTTGATTTCAACATCACTACCATTATCAACTTTATTACAACTCATTTCATTGAAACTAGGTTTCTGACCTTCCTTCTTCTTATTTGGCAGATCACTACATGTACTTGGCAAACTGCTACAAGAACCAGGAACTTCTCTAGAACCACTACTTCCTTCATTGCCTTCTCCTTTACTGTGATCACTACTTCCCAAAAACAATTGCTCCGTCTCCTCTTTACAATCATCAGCATCTTGCCTTACCTCATCATCCAGCCATACAGATACACCTGTAATTTCAAACTGCTCATTATTAGACAAAGACATTGATCTTGCCAAATCAGTACAATACATGTGTACATCTTGCCATGTAGCCACACGTTTCAACAAACTCCGTCCTTCACTGACCTGGCAACCTTGCTGATTTCTAGAGTGCGAATCAAAGACATAGAACATTCGATCTTGAGCAATTGCAACAAATGTATTTCCATGGAAGGTTATGAAACATGCATAGTACTGCTGAAGAGTCTGTTCTAAGGCACGATTCATGGGCACCATGTGAAATTCAGCTGAATTACACTCTTCTCCTAATGTACCACATACAGGATCATGAAACCTCATACTGAAATGATGATTGAGCAAATCCAATTCATTTGGCAATTCATTTATCAACAAGTATTGATTATTCATTGTAGAACTCCGAGATAAATGTCTGTATAACTCATTTCCAGTATTCAGTGCAGTATCAACATCACTACGACACCAGTCTTTCAACTGCTTGACTTTACTGTACAAGACACAACACAGACTGTTCGGAATGCATTGTTTCCCTGAACTCCATCCAAATCTATGATGACCTTGATGAAAGCTTCCCTGTATAGTCTTTGTTGCCAATCTATTATGGTTCCCAACTCCTGCAATATCACTGCAACTCCTGCAATATCACTGCAACTCCTTTGCCTACTACCATCTATACCCTCATGACTTATTTCTTTCTGTTTGCTACTCACTGACTTGCACATTGCATGTGGCATTTTACTTTTGACATCATGCTCCTCTAACATTTCATGTACCACCTTCTTTTCTTTACATTTCATTTCACAGCTTTCAGTGATAGGTGACAGCTGCCGTTTCCTGTTTCTAACTACATAGGATATTTTCTGTCTGGTTTCAGATCTCATATCATCTCCTTGAATATTCTTCAATTCACAACCTTGCTTATCAGTATTACTGCCTAGGCCAACACCGTCTTCAAACTTTTCATTTCTTCTACATTTTCTTCTTCCTCTTCTAACAGTTTTAGAGGTCTTTATTTTATTTTCACCTGCATCATCTACTTTCGGAGACTGGCCTTTTTTGCTCCTTAGTGAGTAACCACCTGTCTGCTTTGGCAACAACACTTCTATCATACAACCTGTACTTTGTTCCTTTCATTTTGTATCACTTACGATTTTTGTTTCATTGTCCTGGATGCTGTCCTTTGTGCACATTCCTCTCACAGGGCTCTGATTGACCACATCATCACTGGTGCATGTCTCCTGAACTATCAAATCAAACATATTGTCATCTGTTGGAATACCAAGATCATACAAAAGAGACTGAGAGTAAGTGCTCTTACCACATTTTAGACACACCCATGTCACTGATTTGTTTGCCAACAACTGTTCCATCTTCAAGAAATTCATACACTTGACATGATACCAAAGGCTACAGCCATCACATTGCACTTTATTGTCAGCTGAATCAATCTTCTCATCACACAACCAGCACTGTTTATCATGATCAATAGATGTGTAATCTGCATTGTCCTTCTTTTACATACCCTCTCCTTATTTCCATCATGTACTTCCGAGTTCACTACTTTTGCTTTCTTTGACATGCTAACATTCATCTCCTTTTGTCTGAAGGTATCACTGTGATTGACACACCCCTTTACATTTGTCATACAAATTCGCCTTGTCTTCCTTTTCGTACTTTTTTGTTCTCCATTTCTCACAACCAGAACCTGCATCTTCTTTATGATTAGCGAAACACTTCGTTTTGTTTGGCAGAATATTTCCTTCTGAACCTTTTCATGGACTTGCCTTTCTTCCTTGCTCAACCACAATTCAATCACTTTCCCATTTCTCCTTCTATTGTACGATTCTTTGCAGATTTTTCTTCTAACTTTCTTTCTAGTGACTTTTACCTGCTTCTTTCTCGATCCCTTGCCAGACACATCACATACATCTTTTCCAGTGTTACCTCTTGCACAGGGCTTCTTCTTTAGCAAACTACTCAGCCATTTCATAGCACGCTGATTACAAACCCTCTTCCTGGTCAGCTTGTGAATTCTTCTTCGTCTCAGTTCACATACCTTTGCTCTTGTACCACGGTTCAGGTTCTTCAAATGTCCAACTGGTATCACCACACTCTGTTCATAGTCTCCAGCCAAGCTGTTAACAGGCACGCTGACCTTAGAACTCATATATCTCTCAAGACACTGCTTGATTCCTTTAGACTGTTTTGCCATGCTCTGTTCGTACTCTGTATCCCGACTGTTTTCTGACTGTTTATCCGACTGTTTGCACCTTTTCTCAGAATCCACCCAATTGACGGGTACGCTGGCCCTTGTACCTGAACAGAGAGGACGCTGCCTCATATGTTCTGATGACACTGCATCTAGTACAATCACGTCACTGTGAATCAACTGGTTTGCGCACTGTCCAGCAGTCATGGACAGACGACGTCCCCGAGGAGGTACCAACCTCGGAACTATTTGCGAAGAGGAGATGGAAATGGAAGATGGTGACAATGATGGAAAAGGATCTCCATCTTGCAGACGGCATCGTCGCAGAGGGCTCTCGGCTTTCGTGAACTTCACCATTTTCTGAAGAAAAAAGAAAACATATAATAACCTAACTAAGTTGTTGTTTTTTCAATGAGAAATACTCTTTTGTTTCAAACATGTCTTTCTCTATATTTGCAAGTCCCGTTCCCCACCCTAAAATTAGAACTTTAAACATCAATGCATTGACCAAGCAAGACTCCATACTGTGTATTATGTACATGTACATGTATGTAACCATTTACACCATCGGGGGCGTAAATGGGGGATCCCCCCCCCCTTTTTTTTACCAGGGAGATGGGCCATTGAATCATCTGCTCTCCCCCCCCCCCCCAACACACTTTTCCATTATGATAAAAAACGCACTTCAAAGTACAGTGACATCCCCATAAGTCAAACTCCGATAACTCAAAACGACTGTTTACTCAAACAAATTTGAGTCCATTGCCCCCAGGAGTATAATAATGATACGCAACCCTGCTTAACTCAAAACTCTGCTTCTGTCAAATTTTGAGCCTGTTCCCTTGAGGTTTGACTGTGAAGGTGTACACCTATTTACACGTAAATGCATTTACATGTACATGTACTGACCATGTTTATGTATGTGTACATAATACACATTATACATGATACACATGATTGACCCCATCAACATGACAAGCCGTAGAAGTACAATATTTCAGGCCGGGCAAAGGGACTTTATTTTCCCAATTTTCCAACACTACTATGTAAATTAACAAGAATTGACTGTTTATAATTAAAGCTTTATCATGTCATTGTGCCTGAAGTTTATTATTTTCTCCATGCATAAGCATAACTAGAGTTAAACTGCTGAGGAGTACATTTTTTAAATGGGAGGGGGTACACTGGAAGGTATTAACATGTTCTTTTATTTAATACAAGATATTCAATGGGATGGCGGATACGCCCACAGGGCATAGTAATCAAAAAGAACTTAAAAGGCATTCCCCCTGCCACCACCCCTTAGTTATTCCTTTGACTCTGTCTTCCATTAACCAGTCAACCCTCACTCCAAAGTATTAGTAAACAATATATCAAACAATTTCTGCGTAATTGCAATAAAAGGCGTTTTATCCCCAGTTCTTTAAAACACAGTACTATTTCCAAGCTGCACATCTTTGGGGAAGGGAAATTCTCTTGCTTAATATTACATGCAAGTACGCAACATTTCCCAGTTTCCATGTTCACTCAAACAAAATATCATTTAATGCACTTTGTACTATTTGGGGGTAGCACCACTTTTTATTTTAATTAATCCAGAAAAAAATACAATTGTACCCAAATACAATATTTATCCAAGTGTAGTGTGCATTTTACACTCAATCTCTTTACCGTTGCACACTCATTCGTTCACACACGGGTGGGCTGGAGTATGGCTTTTCCAAGTAATCTAGTCCCAACTATGTCAGTTTTCTAAACACAGAAAGATTCCCATATCTGCCCATCACTAATTCTTGGTAAACGCCTATCCCTAATTCTTCCCTTCAATGACCTATCAGCCATCAGAAAGTGATAATATGTCCTAAAAACTAAAAAGTCAAATTTGGCACTAGAACTTAGAAGTACATGTACAAGCTGGGAAAATATTGAACTTTACTGAGAAAACACAAATTTACCAATTTTAAGACCGGTCTCATACAACTGGTTTGTGCACAGACATGGTGACACTGACAAGCATGACAAGTGACGTCCAGACATGGGAATCTTTCCCTAAATACTGCTAATCATATAGAAGTAGGCCTATGTCTATTCACAGTAGTGCGCTAGAGTACAGAGGGTACCGCAGTTGCAGTGCTCCACTGCACTCAGCATGCTCACACTCAGTACACCATGTGATGATGTACATGTAAATGTACATTGGCCTAATCAGTAGCCACTAGCCAGCCATGCTAGCCAGTAGCACGTCTCGCGACTCGAGCTCCCCCACTTCGGTTCACATATTCATCGAAATTCGCCACCATATCACACCTGATATATTGACTTGTAAAATCACCCTTATCAATTCCAAATATTAAAAAACAAACCTACGCGCAAATGTACATATTCGAATAAAAATACACAAAAAATTGTCTCTATTCTATTAAGTACCGTGCAGCATTCTTACCGTGTAGCTAATAGTCTGGTGCACCTTGTTGATACAGCACGGCCAAACGCTTTCTAGAGCCGCGATACCATTTCATCCAACAGGCTCCATTCTGAGATCGGGGTCAATGTACCTTCTGTCTTGATAGAGGGTGCCAGCCATACTACGGACTAGGAATTCAGACAAAATTAACACCAAAGCAGTCATCAGCGCCCAGCTCCCCTAGTTACGGTCATGCTCGTACCTGACGCTTTTTGAGGAAAATAAACTATTTTCCCGAAAAATATGCCTACTGGCACTTTCATATGTCTGATTGACTTTAGACTCGTCAGACACTAATTACTAGACCACTATAGCACAACCGCATGCAGATGATGACGTCGAACGCATATGGGAGGGGCACTGCCGCTGAAACAAACTTGTCAGGGGGTGCTGGAATTTATAAAGGACGGACAGAATTAATACGGAAGCGGACCGCAAAGCCCTTACGTTTTGGGTCAATTTGGAATATCGATGCTCTGTGGTGCAATCTGAGGCGATTCTTGGCCTCTTTCCTTTGACTTTTTTAGCAAAAGTTTTTTGAAATTATAACAATTATTTATTTTATTATTTTGTTTAGAATATTCTGTTCCTCTTAAAACGTTTAACTATACTGAAAAGTGAAGAACCCTGTATTTTTATCTCCATTTTTGGTTCCATTTAATTCTGGAAAAAGATTTTATATGTATGATTACGAATGACATTGCATGTAAATATTATTGTTGCAAGACTGCTTTCTTACATTTAGTGAATGCCGTCGTGTATGTTTTGTTTTATTTTCTGAGCCCTTACGGCGTGGGGCCACAGGGCCAGGGTCCCGCTTTAAGGCCCCGGAAAAAGTCGGATTCTGGATGCACTGTGATGAAATATACTGGTAGTATACTGAAACATATAAAACCCGAAAGTTTTTGGGGGGGTTTAAGTAAAAACAAATAGTTCCCCTGGAAGCAGACGAATTTCTGGAAGCGGACAAATATTCATATAGTTTTAACTCACCAAACGATGTGGCTATTGATTTGCAGTGTATTTTGTTTATTACAAGGAATGGCAAATATAAAACACTAAAAGACCAAATGTATCTTTATGGTTATGATCGGTAGATGGCAAGTTTGGGGCAATTATAGGCAATAATTTATCGGTCTACAAAGTTTTTATAAGGAAAATCATGCACAGCCGGTGCAAAGCATGAATAGTTTTTCTTTTCAATTAACACGAAACTACACCGGAATTGGCGTAAAGCATGACTGGTTTGCTATTTGTTAATATTGAGTACAGAATGCTTGCAACGTCAATGCAACTTTTAAAAGAAAAGAAAAACCTTCAGGGGACTGTAAGAAAGGTTTGAACATTTTTCCCCTATTGAAAGATCAAATGAAAAAAATCCTGGCAAGCATAATCAACTTTGCCACCATCGTCATGGCGGAGGTTATTGCTTTCGTTGATTGCTATCGTCATGGCAGAAATATCACTTCTGAAGTACAAGTCCGATTGGGTGGATAATGCACATATACAGGGATGTATTACAGATGAAAGTTGAAGTGACGTCACCACATGTCATGTGACGCCCATTAAAGGGCCATATATTTTTCTCTATTAAAGGTCTATATGTTCGATTTGGCTGTACGTAACTTGATATGTACGTATAATGTGCTGTGTTATAGATAACATTTAAAGTGACGTCATCAAGTGTTCATCATATGCACAGAATATTTCAAATATCCAAAACAGCTTGTGTTTGTCCACAAACACATTTCTAGTTTTTATTTTTTGTTTAGCTGTTTCGGTGACCCACCGAAACAGCTCTTGTTTTCGTTAAGATTTTTTTTTTTTTTTTTTTTTGGCTTTTCCGCAAAAAAGCGGAAAAGCCTTTCTTTTTGTTCTCATTTTTTTGGCTTTTCCGCAAAGTTGCGGAAAAGCCTTTGTTTTTGTTCTCATTTTTTTTTTTTTTTTTGGCTTTTCCGCAAAGTTGCGGAAAAGCCTTTGTTTTTGTTCTCATTTTTTTTTTTTTTTTTTTTTTTTTTTTGGCTTCTTCTTTTTGTCGCCTAAATCCCATAGACTTTGTGCACGTTTTTTCTCATCGCCACTTTTGGCATTAATCTTTGTCATACATCATTCAAAGTTAGCATAAGCATAGTCCCTATAGCAAAGATGTGTCCCGAAGATTGACGTCATGGTGACGTCATCGACTAATTTATTATAGATTTTTGAATATTTAATTTTTCCCATAGACTTTGTACACAGAAATTAAAAAAAAATTGTCTATTTGCAAAGGGCATTTTTGACTCTTTGCCAGTAATTCATTTACACCAGTCTTTGTCTAAGCAAAGACCCTAATTTAAACAACATTGTGTAATGATGACGTCATGATGACGTCATCAGGTGTGTGTTTATAGGCAATTAAATTGTGACACTTTTAATATTAAAAAATGCATAAGAAATCAACCGTACGCGTCCGCAGCATTTTGTTGCCGGCAAGTGGTAGAATAGGTTGAGGTCTTTATTTCATTCAGTGTGCGTGAAATCACGTGACCCTTGCTTCCGGTCGAAAAAGGCCAAAACCGGAAGTG